CCGGTCTAATATTCTGTAAAAGAACAAGGTGATCTTCTACAACATAATAAAATCTAACAAAGCGAGTATGCATACCCAAATGAATTAGCGATACTCGAGAACAAAGGAACGATCCTGTTTTTTTGTATCGTCTGATCCGTACTATAGACGAATGCATCAATGGGAAGCCAAATTGGAGCAGCTCCAGGAGTCCGTGATGTTCCATGATATTGTCATACGACGTTTTCCGTCGTATTGTTTTACCCGACTTGGTTACAAATAAAAGTTTGTAAACAACCGCGTAACAACAATTAATCACTTTTGAATCTACACTTTGACTCGAGATGCAAGAGTTAAAGCACGAGATCCCACCGCCATGAAATATTTTGATACTTTTTATAGCTGAAGGACTGTTCTATACAGGCTTTCAAATAGTACAGCCTTCTCGCGACAGTTGGTTTACACTTGCATTTAATGTTGCTTTGTGTGCTTTACTACCGCTTACTACCGTACGTTCATATCTGAATTCGAATTGTATTGGCAACATCGCACGCACGAACGAATGAAAGCTGTATTAGAACAGTTGCATATATACCCGCTTTGCTAAAATCATCGTGCTTGGAAAGTAGTGAACCGAATGGGCTGTATTTATACATTTCTTTATGACCAGGTTTTCAATATTTCTGTCGTCATGACACCCTTCACAAACCGACTACATCCCTCAGCTTACCCAAGTGGCTGTCACGAAAAGGCTGTCACGAGACATTACATACATTTGATATACGGCAGTGGAGTATGGAAGAAACCCAGATAAATTATCACGAACATGTCAGCCTGATGTCGGATCAATGTAAGGTATATTTATGATCGACGTCGGCCAAATGTCGGGTCGATGTCGTGTCAATTCTGTTTTTATGTCGGGTCGATGTTGGGCCAACATCAGGTTGGGGTTTGGTAGAAGTCAGGTTGGTGTCGGGTAGGCTTATATTTTTCGCTGGAAGTCGGAATGTTTGATCTGCTCAAGATATAAAAAAATATCGGATGAAAATTTTGCAATAGGCAGCACGAACGTGATAGCAACCGAACGAGCTTCGGCGTCACACTGGTACACACTGGCGTTGAAATCCAAGAAGGTGGCACAGAAAAACTGGTAAATATTGTCAAACAACTCACAATTTCACCCCGATTCCAAAAACTCCCATATCGTGGGGTATTTCACAGTATTTTCCAGTTTCTCAGAGTCACAAAAATAAAGATTACACGCGATTCTGAAATATGTGTGTATGTGTATTCCCTCTAACCCCCACTGGCCGGCAGTGTTATTATGGAAGAACTCTCTCTACAATGTCACATTTATGGTCATTGTAGACAGCTTTAGTCCGGGAGTTAGAAGGTGATAGTTCTATTGCAGATCCAGCAACCCATTTCAGAATGTCTGGAGAGTCACGCCCATTCCGAGGTTACTTTCACTTACAATAAGCCCCGCATGTAAACACTACCGTTATCATATGGATAATGGTACTGCAAACACAATTTCAGATTTTGAAACGTGAAGTTTCCAAATATCTGACATGTATTTAGTAGTATATGGAAAAAGGATTTAGGGTTACGGTATGTAATGTGGGTCTAGTCCTTTCATTCGGCCTATCACGCAAATAAATAATTAATTAAGGAATATTACACAAAAAATAAGGAAAATATTGATCACTGATGATTGATAAATGTGTACCACACACAAATCAATTTATATCACAACATTTCAATACATTTTCAGCTCTCGTAAGTAATAAAACTGGTTGAGAATATCACTCTGTTCGGAGTTTTTAGCCGCCATGACTTCTAAGGTTAAGATGGGAAGGTTGCACTGACGATCATCAAATGGCCTGATTATGGCATTTATTGAATGGAATTACCTGATAATACACACTAGACGTAAAACTCACAGTTACTGTTTGAATATTTTATGTTTATTTTAATTGTTTAACAACGTTTTCACAAGTAAATCATGGACCCAACTTTAGGGACACATTTCTTTTCTATGTTCCTAACTTTGGCCCATGAAATTCATTTGACAGCATATAGCAATAAGAGTAACGTCAACAATGTGGTTTGCATTTGGATGATAAGGAACGAACAGGAAGGGAGATTTTTTCTGCCAAATCTGTATAATGAACATCACAATGTTTTGATTTAGATATTCTGCGGTCGAAAGACGATAAGCGAAATTTTTAATTTTTAATTTTTAACTTGAGTGATTTAATGTAGTTTTCGTAAAATTTTCTCTAAGAAATGTTTTGAGGAATGAAGAGTATTAAGTTAACAGTGATAGTGATAAAAAAAAATACATAAGAAAACGTTACCAAGAGCGTTTTTTTTGAGAATCAAACAGGATAGGACGAAGTTGCATCCATAAATAGACCCAATTTGGGGACAATAGACCGATATTACATACATTTCCCTGGTGAGTTTTTGTCTTAAAAAAAGTAAGTTTTTCAACTTTTTGCGGTTCCTGATAGCAAACGACATGATAAGCATATCTAAGCATACCATTTAGCAGTAGAATATCGTTTGCAGGTAAATTAATTGATGAGTTATGATTAAAAACGTAATCTATGGCTGCATATTAGACCGAGGTTAGGGACGTATACCCTATAATTGATTTATAATCAGATTGATCTCACCAAACTCTGCCTCCGTAATACCACAAAGTGCTCGCGGTGATCTACACAGCTATCTTAAACATTTTTTTTCCGGCCACCATGCACTAATATCCGGAAGATTCACTGTTAATTTTTCGCTGAATCATTCTTCTTCTTCAAAACAATATCGATAGCGTATTATTTCCATTATCCTCTTCATCCACTGTTCTTCTAATAAATCTAATACTTATGTTTTCACCACTTTCTCCCTATCCCCACTTGTTTCTACGAAATCCTCACACCAAAGACATGTTTTTATTTTTCCTCTTTGTCTACCCCAACCTTCCACCATTCAATTAGTAGCGCTCCGCCACCCGGCCAGCTGCGCGAGTCCTATTGTCTATTTTTGCGAAATCTCAATAAATCACACTATGACTAGTCCACTCCAGAATCATCAACAAAAACGACAAATTCTCATCACGCTTTTTGGAAAAGAAATTTAAAAAATATGAAAAATTGACGTGAGAAAAAAATCACGTCCGTTCACGAGCACAGCACACTTCGATTACACGCGATTCTGAAATGTGCGTAAAATCGAATTATATACAACATCTGGACCCAGGACGACCATTATGTGGGTTTCCTAAATTTTTGGAACTTCCGTAAAAATAGGCACATTGTTAAATTGAACTTTAAAAATTTGCTTGAATCTTCTAACGAGGTCACATCAAAACGCAGAACTATAATCGCTGGGATTTGCTTTAAACAATTTTAATAATAAGACACACACACTACTAAAAAGTCATGTAAATTTCGGTTCTCTGAGACCGACACATGTAAGCGGGCCTTTTGACATAAGAATCAGTTAAAAGAAACGTGAAAATCAATTCAATCAAACGTTCTCTTCGTCGACTAGCTGATGTTTCGGTTTGAGAACACTTAATTTTACATGAAATGTTTGTTTACGTTCTATGATTTACGTCCAATATACATTACGTCTCGTGTAAAAGTAGTTATTTTTAAGTGTGCAAGTATGAAATAAGAAATGTTTAGTGTATCTAGACCTTGGATGATTGCAACCTGATCTTTCGTATGATCCGGAAAATCCGTAGAAGTGACCACTTCATGAAGCAAAACATAGATGCCTATTTATGTTATCAAAACGGTTTCAGATGCCTGTGGGAATTGATGAATGGTTACTTCAAGAAGTTACCACTTCAAGAAGTAGAACTTTAAATGTTTCGATTTGTCCTAAAACAATAGGACTCGAGATAAATGTGATCATTTAGGATTATGCTGTGGATCCATGCCATAGATGGTCATGAGCTGGTGGAAGACCCGGAACATCCACAAAAATGTCCACTTCATGATTAAGATCTGATAGCGACGAATATGTGGATCCTTAACGTGCATGTAAATCGTGATCTGGTTATAGACTTTGGATTTCCCCCACCTCACTAGGTCACTTTCACCTTAACACTATATCAACATACAATATACAATACAATACATATATCAACCACTAGCAATTCCAGTCTGCCAGTAGAGAAATTGTCTTTGACAAAAAGATCAGAAGACTTAGGTGGGAATTGAACCCTCGCTCCAAGGCAAACATAATACTCCTAAACGGGTGGTGACTGCGCTATTAGAATGGCCTCGATTTCGACAAACTTATGGTTACTCTATGTATGCTTTGGAGGCAAAGGCACAATGGTATTGTGCTTATCACAACAAACTGAACAAATATGGACGATTTCATTTAGTAAAAAGTGTGATAAAAGTGCGAGTTTCCGTCTAATCTCCAAAGTGTCTTCGGTGCATTCCTGATATTACTTATGATGCAAACAATAAGTGATCTGAATACACCAAAAAGATATGACGGAACATGCACTTTTATCACGCTTTTTGCACGTTTCAGATATAATCTGCAATAAATGTTGCCTTTTGTTTCTAAATACCGGTTTAAACATGTTAATAAACTTATCTAACTTTTTGCAACCTTCGAAAAAAAACCCTCGTTATTTGACATTTGCTTCGTATAAAGTGGAACGTAAACTGAGTACTGCGTAAAAAAAATACTTCGTAAACAGAGGTTGCAGCGTATCAAAAACGCACGTAAGCGTTCAATCTTTTTTTAAGTGATAATTACTCCCAACTACCCAGCAGACTTTTGGCGCTAACGTGAATTATTTAAGATCATCATAGGGCGCCAAAGAAATATTTTTTTTAAACTGACCATATACCAAATGTTCATTGCCTCGAAGTGCTGGTGGCAATAAGCGCAAAATTATTCTGTATAAATTTAGCGGATTAAAGTAAACAATTTATTTACAACAACCGATAATCAAAACCATCGACAAATAGATTTGAAATGTTCAGTCATCAATAGTGCTGATCGATGTTGGCATAGCTCTCTCCGTGCGGGTGGTGGGCATGTCCGACACGCTGCACATGTGGCTGGAATCCTCCCTTGTGGTCCGAGCTGTAGTCAACGACGCGGTGGGTGCCATCTGCCTCATCCAGAGTGTACTGTCCCTTCACGACATCTCCATCGCGGTGCTCCCAAGCGCTCTTGTGATCGTGGGTGTGACCATCCTTGACTCCGTACTCGAACTTGTACTTGGGATGGCTGTGATAATCTTCGTACGCCGAAGCAGCGACGGCCAAACAGACAACCAGAGCAATAAGCTGATGGGAGTATTTAATTAAAATTATTTCAATCTTTCTAAATTGTCATGTGTGTACCTTGAACATGTTGGATTTCCTTTATTTTGCTGATGTGTTCTAAAGAAAGGCTGTTGCTCTAATGATGCCGTCTTTCATGATGCCAACTGTTTTTATATTGTTCAATTTCGACCGTATTTGGTACCAGTGTTATTCCTGCGCTCTCTTTTTTGAGTTCTGATTCGTTATGTTTCAATTTCTAAAAATGCAACTTTTGATCACCCAATTAAAAAATATTAGTGAAATCAAACAGCTAACTGCTACAATAATGTACCTGCACACCAATCTGTATTTCTCAGTTGATCAAATTTGTCACTTTCCAATTATCGATCGTCTTTGCGTGTTACCGGTTGAGATTTCAATTGCAATCGATAGTTAATAGTATCGGGTGATTGTTGCTCGAAATCATTCACTGACATTGGTAGGCAATCAAAAACCCACTCAATGCGGTGGTGTGTCACATAACAACGTTTCAAAACCACCAAATGACCAATAGTAGCGAACATACTTGAAGGTTTCTGTTTTGAGTTCTTCCATATGCCTATGCATGGTACGGAACACGAAACCGTGGGGCGTATTGAGAAACGAAAATTGAAAATCAACGTGAGGTATAAAAAATCGGCTAACCAACGGAATGCACAGCAGTTCTTTAACAGCATTCCAATAGAACAAGTCAGTACTATCCACAGGAGATCCAAGATGTTCAAGATCATCGCTCTGGTTGCCTGTTTGGCCGTTGTTGCCTCCGCCCAGTATTACGGAGGAGATCACGGTCATCATGAGGATCAACATCATTCCCACCCCAAGTACAAGTTCGAATATGGTGTTAAGGATGGACACACCCACGATCACAAGAGCGCTTGGGAACACCGCGATGGAGACCACGTGAAGGGACAGTACACTCTGGATGAAGCCGATGGCACCCACCGCGTCGTTGACTACAGCTCGGACCACAAGGGAGGATTCCAGCCACATGTGCAGCGCGTTGGACATGCCCACCACCCACATGGAGAGAGCTACGCCAACATCGATCAGCATTATTAAGACCGTCAAAATCCGTGAAGCGTTCCAGTTAGTCCATTGCTGCCATGGAAAATGAATAAAATGCTAATTTTCCTCTCAAATTTGAAAATCGTTGATTTATTAGTTTTACTCAGATGAGAAAGCGGTCTTCTTATTTCTTGATGACAAGGATGGTTGTCATTTTCTGCATGATTTTATTTTTATAAACAAATATATTCTTTAAATTTGAACGGCACAGAACGGCTTCAGCCCCCCGAGACCCTATTCCAAGCACGGGGATTTTCTGAAGAAAATTAATCAGACATCTATCCCACAGATAAAGGTGACCAGTGAACGGAGAAACCGGGAAAACCGGAAATAAGCCGAATTCTAAGTGACCGGGTAAAAAGCGCAAATTTAGATGACAAATCTGGATAAAAATACTTCATATGTTAAAAAAAAAATTAAATAATACCTTCAAAGTGTTTTTATGTTACTTCATACGCGAAGTTAACGATTTTCAGAGTTGGTTGGAAATGCTAACATGAAGCTTTAGTGTGATGATTTATTAGCTAGAGAATGATTTTTAGAAGTGGGTAGGTGGATAGTCGCATTAAAGGGCGAACACGAAATTATTGCGACATATTCAACAGGGCATAAATTTTATACCATTGGGTAAAATCAACCAAATTTTGCACACTTTCTCATTGATGTGTATTGTGTATATGCTGTCAAACTCGAAGTCGTGTTTTTCGATTCAACGAAAATGGAGGTGAACCAATGTGAGTTGAGAGAACAAATTCTTTCCAAACACCTGGAATTTCCTGACCTGTCGCACCGGCAGAAAAATGTTGAACATTCACCATTCAACCGTCTCCAGAGTGTTGAAGCGGTTCCAGGAGCGGTTGACGTTGGACCACGGCAAAGGAGCTGAAAGAAAACCGGGACCGGAGAACAAAAAGACGGAGGGAAAGGTGAAGCGGATGATTAAAGCAAATCCCAACGTCTCAAGCCGTGGTTTGGCTAAAAAGATCGGCATGTCGCAGAGCTACGTCCAGAATGCACAGAAGAGAGCTGGACTACATACATACAAGGTACAGAACTTCCCAAACTGCGATGAGCGGCAACAATCGACGGCTAAAACTCGGCCACGGAAGCTCTACGAGAAGATGCTGACAAAATATGGCTGCTGTGTGATGGACGACGAAACGTATATAAAAGCCGATTTTAAGCGAATTCCGGGGTTGGAGTTTTTCACCGGCAAGAGCAAGTTCGATGTGGACAAAAAATTTAAGAAGAAGAAAATGTCGAAGTTCACCTCCAAATATCTCATTTGGCAGGCCATCTGCTCTTGCGGACTGAGGAGTGAGCCTTTCGTGACAAAGGGCACAGTAAATGGCGAGATCTACAAATCTGAGTGCCTCGAGAAGCACCTTTTGCCGTTCTTGCAGCAGCACGACGAAGCTCCGCTATTTTGGCCAGATTTGGCATCATGCCACTATTCTAAAAGTGTCCTGGAGTGGTATGAGGCCAATTCTGTCCATTTTGTTCCAAAGGACATGAATCCGCCAAACTGTCCGGAGCTGCGCCCGGTGGAGCAATACTGGGCAATAATGAAGCGGGAACTTCGGAAGAGCAAGAAGACAGTCAAAGACGAGAAGGACATGTTAAGAAAATGAAAAAAAAAAACTGAGAAACTGGTACCGGATGACACTGTAAAGACTTTGATGGAGGGCATCAAGCGAAAATGCGTTCAATTTTACACTCAAGGCTTCATTGATTAACTTTTCTTTTGATTTTTGAAGTAAATATATGTATAAAACTACCCTAAAATTTTGGTTTGATTCTAAACATTATAAGAAAATTGGCATGACATTTTCGGTGTCGCAATAATTTCGTGTCCGCCCTTTATAACACACCATCGACTGGAAATGCTCTCGCAACGTGGGGCTTTAGGTAGTGATGAAAACGTCGCTAGAACTATTTCTACAGCCACAGTCAGTTTATGAGCAAAAAAAGGGACGCACATTTTTGCCTGTAGACTTGGAGACATACTTCAAGTCTCCACGTACATCGTACGGGTTAGGCAAAAATGTGCGTCTATCTTTAAAAACTGTCGTATTAATGGCCCTTCGCTCATTTTCAACTTCTATTCAATTTTCATACTGCCGTACTCTAACGGAACTCTAACCCTCTTCTAAAGATCATTCTCTAGCTAATAAATCATCACACTAAAGCTTCATATTAGCATTTCCAACCAACTCTAAATAATACCATTAAAAAAAATCAATATTCTTGGACTGGACTAGAATTAGGACTGGGTTTACACATACAAACACTTTGGCGAACTATTCAAGAGTGAATTTTCAAATAGCCCTGTCTTCTTTGTGTGTGTGGGGCCTCCCTTAGCTCAGTCGGTAAAGGCGCAGCTACAAAGAAATACCATGCTAGAGGTGGCTGGGATCGATTTCCGGTCCGGTCTAGGAATTTTTCGGGTTTGAAGATATAGGCATAGATAGAATATGGGATAGAATATGAATGTACTTGCCACACAATTCTACTACAGTTGTGCATGGAGACTCAATACACTACTATGTATAGGAACCACACGCTTCTAACTTACCGCAACTATAGGAGCGTTTACCCTTATGCAAAAATGGTACAGGCATCGAAAGTTCTCAATTTGGAATTTCATCTATAACACTAAGTTGTGAGCACGTGCGATAAGCAAAAAGCATGAAATGTTGAAAGGAAGAAGAAGTGTCTGCTTTTGTAAAAAAAAATCATACGCCAATTTATTGAAACTCTTTGCCAGTCAATGCAAACAAACACCCCCATCAGGTAGGGTAAAGCTGCCCTAACATGGTGGTACAAGTTTGCGTAGGCGAGACAAAGTTTCGACATATTGATGTTTGAATCTTTGTGTTTACAAAATGGATATGGCTATTTGAAAATTCACTCTTGTCAATTGAATTTTTAGAAGATTTTTTATTGAATTTCAGAAATAACATCAAGGTATGTCTGATAAAATTGAAGGGAGTTTTGAAAAGGGCGGTTAGCTCTAGCTAGGATTAACTTTCGATACCGACCCTGTTTGGATGATCTGCTAAATGTTTGCGTAGGGTCCTGTCGACATCAAAGCAGCCGGACAATCTTAATCTGGATTTATTCCGAGGGTAATACCGGTCTGAACTTACCATACTAGTGTTTAAACTTTAACTCCAAGTAAATTGGGTTGTTTAATCTCAAAAAATATACCGGTTTTAAAAACCGATATATTTTCCTAATGAAACATCGCAATTGACTTGGAGTTTAAGTCAACATCTTAAAGAGCTTCGTTTTCTGAACACATCAGTATTTTTTTTTTCGATCCCATAGACTTCTATCTCGATTTTAATTCAAACTCAAAACTCAAAGCAGCATATATTGACATTAAATTTATTAGTTGACAGCTCAGTGTCATACAAAGTCCCACTGAGGTGTGCTAATATGGTGAATTTAGCTACTGTAATCACACTTATTTAAATTAATTCCAGTGTACCGAACCATATGAAATTTTCAATCAAAATTCAATTTTTTAATGCAGGTTACGAATATGCATTTACCTCAATACGCCTAAACAACCCAATTGTGTGCTTAAGTTTTAAGAAGCTATGTAAAAAATTCCGTAACGATTGCGAAGAGCAGTGTTGGGAAGATGTCAAAAGATCAAATCTCACCAATGAGCATTCATCTCATTTGATTATCGTTATCAAAAATCAACAAACAACCAACAGCGGATGACATTACCAGCTGCAATACGGTAGCTGAGATGGGGCTGTATCATTTTGCCAAAGGACATTTCACCGAAGGACGTTTCGCCGAAGAACATTTCGCCGAATGGGTCATTTCATTGATTTTTTTTTCATGAATCAACATACAATTAAAATTAATTTGGAACGCATTTAAATAATAGATATTCCCATGTAAAGCACTTCGAAAGAACTGCTCATGTTTAAAAGAAGGAAGTATTCCTATAAATTAAAAAT